TTTTGGCTAGTTCCTTTTTATTTGAGCTGCTGGTTTGTATGTATTTTGTGATTTTGTTTTCTATTTCTGTTTGTTTTCCACCAATTATGATGCTAATTCTAGTTTGTGTTTTGTTTTCCGGGTTTTGTATCTTGTGCATTATTGTGCCTAGTGATGTTTGTATTCTGTCCAGGTGTCCTAAGATCTAATTGTGGAGCTTTGTACTGTGTACGGTTTTGGTTATTGGAATAATTATTGCCTGGTCTATTTTGATTTCCCTGGTATATCTCTCTTTTGTATTATCTCTGTAGTCACATCCTTGACACTTGTCTATAGGTGAATCTCCTTCTCTTTGTCACATATATTGTACTCTTACTTTGTTATCTATTATTCTACATCTGCAATCTATTCTTCCAATGTGTATTTGTTGGTTGATCATATATGCCAAGTATCTTTGCTTTTGGATGTTGTGGCTTTTTGCTACTTCTAGCTGAGAGATTGAATTGGATCTTGTTAGATTCGTCAATATAATTGTGTACTTTTTTTTCTAAGATGTCTAGTTGGCTGCATTTTTCTCTGATCTCGGTGAACTATTTTAGCTGCTTGCCAGTCGGTTTACATCTTATGGCTGCTTTGATTTGTCTCCAGTTGAGCATGCATGTTTGTTGGGTATTGGTAATCTGTTCAATAAACATTAGGTTGTGCTTCCTGATGTTTTTGATATTTTTCTTGCTCCATGTTTGCTCCATAATGTCTTTAATTGTGTGCAGTCCTGTGCTGTCATGTGTTTGTATCAGGCTATGGTCTTGGTTTTGTTCTACCGTGATGTCTTCCTCTTTGAGCATCTGTAGGATTTGGCTTGTTAGGCATTTCTTGGATTTGTCAATCATTGTTTCTGACTGAAGTATGTTTTCTGGTATCCATGTTCGATTTTGTAGGTGTTGCAGTCTTCCTCCGGTTAGTGCTCCACACAAGTTGTTTTTGTTTAGATTTGTTATCCAGTTTTTGATATGTAATGCGAATTGTCTGTCTTTTTATACAGAATAGTTTGTATCCTATATAAATATATATGCTGCTGTTTGGGGCAGTGCTTGAGACTCCAATTTTGTGTTTGAAGGCTTGTCTAATTTAACTGTCCAGGATGTTGATCTCTTGATTCGAAAGGAATGCGTCTTGCAACATATATTCTATGGCTGGCATCATGACCTAATTCAGAATATACTTGCATTGTTTATCTGTGATCATGGCTCTTTTCAGAATTCGTGTTGTTGTTTTTACCTTTTGCCTGATTAGTTCATGCTGATGCTTTTTGCTATCTGTTGCTGTGATCCATATCCTAAGGATTCTTATGACTTGTTTGGAATCCACTGGTTTGATTATTTGGTTTTGGAACTGAAAGTTTTCTGTATCTTTACTATTTATTGTGAAAAGTACTGCTTTTTTTGGGTTTACTCTAAGATTGGTCAGCTTTGTAAATTGTTCTGTAGTTTTGATAATCTTGTCAATATGCTCTCGGCAACTTGCTATTCAGATTGTATCATCCATGTATGTTATTGACGAGATGCTGTGTTCTTGTTTTCTCCATATGTTTGGATTGTTTGTGAATTTTTGAACTGAAAACTTGTATCCTATATTTCCTTTTTCTACTCTGCTAATTAGTGGATCGTAGTAGATGCACCATAGTAAAGATGAGATTGTATCTCCTTGGTCTATACCTTGTGCTGGTTTGAAACTATCTGTAAGACCATGACATGTGATGATCCTGGTTTCTCTATTGTTGGTTAGGTTTTCTAAGATCTTGTTAATAGTTGTCGGAACTTTGATTCTCTGTAAAGCCTTGCTTAAAAGCTTTGGGTTTATTGAATTGTAGGCTTTGCTAATGTTTTGGCTTAGAATCCAGCATTTCTTGTTTAGCTCTCTTGCCTCCTCTAATACATTATTAAGAATGTTGATTGGTTCTTGTATGCCTCCTCCTGGAAGTTCTGCCCAGTTGAAGGGTGAAAAGATTTCGTGTTCCATTAGTATATTATTAATTCTGTTATTAATAATTTTGGTGAATGTTTTTTTGATTGTTTCTAACAGTGTGATGGGTCTTGTACAGTTTAGATCATATTGCTAGTCTGCTCTCTTGAGGATCAGACAGATGTTGATTTTGTTCCACTGTTTTGGGATTTTTGTTAATTCCAAAATTCTGTTAAAAATTAATGTAATTTTCTTGATTTCTTTGCTATCAATATGTTTTAGCATGGTGTAGTTGAGCTTGGATTTACCAGGAACAGGTTCTACTTTTGCTTTAGTAATAGTTCCTTGACTTTGTCTATTAATATTGGTTGTATTATTGGATTGTACCACGTCACGTCAATGTTCGGTTGTGATGTGTATTCTTTCTCCCATTTGTTCCAGATTTCTTTATCCAGTTTTCTGGTTTCTATTGTAAAGTTTGAAAAATGTAATATTACCTTTCTTTTGATTTCTTGTGGATCAGTGGTGACATTCATATCTGATGTTTTGGTTATTAGTTTGTTCATTGTAATGCATGTTCTTTGCTGACTCAGGATTGTGCAGATTATTTTTTTGGGATCATGTTTCATTTGGGACATTCTTTCTTCTATTCATTGTTTGATGATGGCTCTGTTTCTTTCTTGGTTTTCTTTTTGCAATAGATTTCTTGTTGTCTTGTATATTTCTTGTACATTGTGAAGTCATTCTTTTGTAATTGCATTTCCAGTTGACCTATCTATTTGCATGTCATTGTTGTTTTTGTGTTTTTGTTCAATTTCATCTATAAGTTTAAAGATTGCTTGCTTGGCTCTATCTGGATTACCTTTGTTTTTGAGGAGACGGTTTCCCCATGTGCTGATCTTCCTAAGTGAAAGTAGATGTTGTATCTTTTTAGGTGAAGCTAGTTTCTTCCCTTGGTGATGTTTTGGATGTTTCCATTTCTTAATGTGTTGATGCATTGTTTTACTGATGACATGTCATGTGATGTTTCAAAGTTTGTTGCTGTCCATCTCTGCTATATCTTGTTTTGAATTTTGTTCTGTAATTTGCTCTTCTATTTGTTGTTGGAATTTTTTTCATTGTTCTGGGCTAGTATTAAAAATTTTTTTAATATTAATCAATTGATTACTATAAATAAGTTAATATTTAACTTATTATAATTATATATAATATAAAGAATCATATTTAATGACCTGTGAATCCATAATGTAATAGTTAATACTTCACAAGTCAAATTACAAGTATCAGTTCAACCTATATAAGAATAGTTGAATAGAATTAATATGATGCCATAATCTATAAAAGTACTGTTTTTCATACGATGCCGTTTCACATGCTAATCCAGTAGGTGTTGAGATTATGATTTCCAAAAAAGATGTCATGATGTGATGATCATCTGGTTGGTGTTATAATAATTACTAGAAGTTGCAAGGTATATAAGATGTCTGCTTTCAACAAGTAGGTTTGGTGATTCTTCTCCTAATATCTGACATCTTTCACGCAGATCCCTGCCCTAGTCTCATCCCAATTTAGTAATAAGCCAGTCTGATAGTATTTATTCCAAGAAAGCTTCTGTCTATAAGTCCTGTTCCTTACAATGTATAAGTCAATGTTTAGATGATAAATATCAGTTATAAGTACCTTGAACATTCTTGAATATCATTGGACAAATAAAAAATTAAATGGTTAGTCCAGCTATAGATGATGGTAAAGGGATTTATCCCTGATAGAGCAAATAATAATTATGTAGCTTTATTTATCATAAATATTATCCTTAATGTTCTCTTTCAACTTTCCCTTAATTCCTTCCCAATTAGAAATAAAGTTGTTCAATTACTAGTGAAAATATACACTACTGATTTAACAAAGAAATATTTTTGTTCAGTAAATTAGCCTCTATATCTAATATAGTTATGAACAAGCTATAACAAACGTCATTATTTCGAACAATCCTGATAAGTGTTAGGTATAACTGACAACTGATATATTATAGTATAGTTCTAGATAGTAATGTCTAAATATATATGTAAACATCATTATGAGGAATAAACATCCAGCCAGACAATTATCACTGGTGCACTTTAAAAAAAAAATAATAAATAAAAAAAAAAACAAACAAATAAATAAATAAATAAATAAATAATATTTTTCAAAATATATATTATTAATTATATAATTTTTTACATAAATTTTAAAGTTAAGATTATTATTTACTTATCTATAAACTAAATATATTATTGTTTTGATTTGATAAAAAATATTATAAAGAATAATTTTATTCTTATTTTTAACTCAACATCTTTTAAATTCACAAAGTTTATCTAAAAACAAATAAAGTTTTACAATAAAACTTTAAATTTTAATCCAGTTAAAAGATTCTGTATTAATTTTAAAATTTAATTTTATTATAAAAATTTTACTTCTAAATAAATTGTAAAAAAAGAATAATCATAAGTCAAGAAAACAGATACAATATAATTATATAGAAAAAGATATACAGTATCTCCAAAACCTGCAATTATTGCAAAAATATCCAAGAAATCAATAGAAATTTTTTTTTACAAATGTAAGAACCATCATACAATTATGAACTGAAATGTGAATGTAACCTATGGGATTTTCTTGCAGGACATTGCTTGATAGAGTCATCCACATGTGGATATAAGAAATGATTATTCTTACTTAGTAATGATTATTATGATCCTCCGTAGTATACATAATATACGTAATGATGATTTTTTTTATTATAACGTAACTCCGCGCCACCACATTCTGCGGATTTGTGCATTTGGTCACATTATCATCACGTTTTGCATAAAAGCCGCGGATGCCGCATCTCTGTAACTGCGGGATTGCATTGTCACCGATTGTTTCTGCGGAAATCAAAACATGTGGTTCTCAAAAAGGAAATCAGGATAATTCTTTATGCATATAAATTGAATACGTCTGTCGAGAAAGTGACAAACCATTATTTATTTTTTTCTTTTTCAATTGTAAATTACCAAACTCCCAACGACAAAATGAGTGTAAAAAAATCCACTAATTTTGATTTTAAAGCTTATGAATTCTGTTCGGACTTTAGCATCTTCATTATAAACGAATCATCACAAGAAAACGAAACCCTTTCACCTAAAGAATACAAGGTTCATCGATACATTCTATCTCAACAATCGCGATATTTCAAGGTACTCTTTGAATCCTCCCGAGATTTCACTGAACACAAAACCAACTCGGTCACCATACGACTCAAGGACCCTCATGACGTATTTCAATCGATCTTGAATTACATGTATACCGGTTACATTTCCATAAATCATAAAACTTTGATTTCAATATTAACTATCGCGGATAGGTTTGACATTGAAAAACTCACGAAACACGCGGTCGAATATTTTACCGACTTTTTAGAGTCATGTCTGACCTATTTTGTTCATATAAACAAAACGGCTACTCCGTTAGACTCTCTTGACTTGTTAATTAGTCCAGAAGAAATTCTTTCTATATACATTGAATCACAGGAATCAGAATTCGAGGATATTATCCCTGATTGGTTCCTCGCAATTTCATTTGACAAACTCTGGGATCTCGATCCGGATGCGTTTAATACATCTAGGTTGGAGAGAATTTTAAAGTCTGATTATGTACAGTTTAAAAACGAGAACCAAAAACTTTCGGTTATCAAAAGGATTATTGAGGATCGTTATGACGGTGAGGGATATAATACGGGGGTTGGTAGTAGATGGTCCAAGATGGTTTTAGCTCTCGTCATGCCTTTTGCATCTGAAAATTCGGATGAAGAGGAAGATGATTCGAATCCAGAAGAATTTGGAGAATCAGAGAAACAAATCTCAGATGCTGCCACGATTATCAATAAAAAAAAGAATGAAATAGTGTACACTTTTGAGGAACTTGAAAAGGTTTCCGAAAAAGTTCAATTCAATGAAAAAATATATCAACTGTTTCAACTTGTAGATTTTTCTTCACTTGAACCAAACACTTGGGCGGACATTTTGGCTGATAAAATGATACCGGAAAGACTCGTTGTTCAGGGTCTGTTTCGGGTCTTGAAAGAAGATAATAATAAAAAACCTAATATTATGTAAGTATTTTACGAGCTTGATTCAATTCGGGGGTCATTACAATGTACATTTGTAAATATTATTTCTTGTTGAAAGCAAATGTCTAACGATTCTTTGATTTAAAAAATACACTTTTTTAGCCAGGAAAATTCGAAATGGTTAGAAGTCTTAGAGAGCTACAAACATGATATGAATGAATTTGAGTATGTTTTACTCGAAGGAAAAGGTGATGTGTCTTCGCCATCAACGACAATCGAGCACTTTGATCAGCTCAAATTCGAGATAGAATCTTCTTTTAGTGACATCGAGATCCATATAAATGATAAGTCTTATGATTTTCACAAGATCATCTTGTCAAAAGAATCAGAATACTTTCGCCACTTATTCTCTTCATCACAAATAACTCAATGGACGCTTCCTTGGAACACTCTTCACCCGGAAGTGCCTATCGGTTTTGTTTCCATGATTCACCTCTTTTATGATCCCAACTCAGTCGCACTCTCTATCAAGTCAGACAATGATTCTCCGGAAAAATTACAAAATTCCACAAAAACGGTAATCTCCATATTACTTTCCTCAATGCAAATCCATAATGCAGAGGTCACCTCTAGATGTCTTGATTCTATACAGTACCAAAACTTTTCAAAATTCCTGTTGTTAGGTTGTGGAAAGTTAGATCCAGATCTGTCGAAATTAGAAGAGCATCAAAAACAAATTAGAGAAATCGTGGTTGACATTGTACCTAGTTCGTTCATGGAATTTCATGACGTTGTGATCAGAGGGAATGAAATCCCAAAAGATTTTATCATAGAAATACTGGATAAATGCTTGGAAAAACGTGATGCCGAGGAATGTGATTCCAATAAAATTTTAATTTCATTATTCAAAGGTATCTTTGATAGATGGTTCCCAAACGCCAATTCAAAAGATGAAACTGATGAAGATATTCAAGGATTTGATACCGGTATAGAATACGTCGAAAAAACAAAAGCAAAGGGGAAAGAACTCCGCGAAATTAGACACTTAATAACAAGATACATTGATCCCAAGAGATTGCAATGCAATGACATGGAAGATCTTGAGAGACAGTGGTGGATGCCTAAAGATTTATTTCACGCTTGGCTCATTGCATTAGCAAGTGAAAAGAGGAGAAAAGAAAGCACAGGAATTTAATTGTGGACGAAAAGGGCAATTTGTAAAAAAAACAAAAATTTTTTTTTTGCTTCCTACAAGAAGCATGTATTCAGCACGCACGAAAATGTACAAAAATAAAATAAAAATATTATTAGATCCAATCAGAAACTTAGTCAATCGTTTTTCTTTTCACAACACAACACTATCCCCAATTACTCGATTTTGATTGTCAAAATTTAATTAGACAATCGACTTTATTAATTAATTAATTAGCTATATAATGAACTCAATAAAAGGCCAATTTATTTTCTTTAATAGAAAAAAGAAATAAATTAATACACTAAAGCTTTAACATATTACCCCCTTTCTCCTGTATTTTGTATCGCAATCTTGTAAAAACTTGATTTATAAAGAAGGGTATCGAGTGAGTAGTAAATAAAAACCAAAATTGCACTGATATAATTACACAAAAATAAAAGTTGTGGTTACACTAACGAACGGTCGTCATCGAGAGCAAGATCAAATTGACATGCTAATCGTTCCGACTCGAACTACGCATTCCCTTAGCAACTCCATATAGATTGATGAAATATCAATTAAATGAAGGGTCCAGCAGTCGCTCGATGGCTAAGTTAACGTCTCCTTGACACACTTGTAATGCACGGATATTTTTCGGAGTATCATAAAATCCCATTTCATTTAACTGTTGAAGTTGAGCTCGAAATCTTTCTTCCGGTGGTATTTGAGGTGCAGCTGGTGTGGTCGAACCAAAAGCACCAAATAGCAATGCTGGATCGAACAGTGGCATAACAGGAGGTTGTGCGGGATTAGTTCCCGTGCCAGTTTGAGAAGTTGCGGAAGGATTAAAAAGACCGTAAAAGAGTGGATTATTCGCTGGTGTAATGGGAGTAGTAGTACCGGCATTGGGCGTCGTTGAAGAAAGATTAGGAGTAGTCGTTTGATTATTATTAGTGGTTGTTGCTGGAGTGGTCGATCCAGGGACTCCGCCAGTGAAGGGACCCGGTCCCATCATTGATTGAATTGCGGCCATCCGAAGCGTTTCGGGATTTGACATCAATGACAAAACTTCTGGATCCTGCAACATTTGTCTAAGCTGAGGCGCTACCTGCGCGAGATTTGGGTACATGGCAATCATATTCTCGATAAATGTCGGATCCTGAATCATTTGTTGCATGTGTTGCATCATGACCGGATTCTGAAGAATCTGTTCTATCATCATCGGATTTGCGAGGCCATATGGATTTTGATTTAAACCGTTAAAACCCAATCCTAATTGACCGAATGGATTCGTTGCAGGGAGCGTAGAGGGGGGAACACTCGGTTGTGTTGTTGGTGGGGGATTCTCCGAAGTCGTTGCGGGGGGTGTTGTAGTTCGTGACGATGTTTGAGAAGTATCTGGATCATTAAATAATAATGTACAAGAGATAGAAGGACATGAATAAAGTGAAATCTTGCAATGAACTTCCCAAGATCGATAAAAGAATAATATTATTTTGATATCGTGACAAGCCGAGTCGTTAAGATATTTTGTACTATTATTACTCTCATGGCTACAGTATTTTGGATACTTACTAGTGGTAGCTTGACTTCTCACCATATGTACGGTGTGGCCTTCGGTTATCTTGTATGTATCGAGAGTATCATTATCCTTCAATACTCTTCCAGAATATATCAACCTTTGTCTATCTGCGGCTGTATTGCTTTGTTCAGCAATAGCATTCTTAAATTCTAGTACAGTTTTAGAGGTGTCTATCTTCACGCTATATTTTTGGTCATTAGAACATTTGACAGTGACAGTTATCTCGGGCATCTTAAAACCTTGGCGGTAAAGCTTGGTGCTAATTCAAAAAACAATTGTTATAGTGTTTATCTATAGAAGCCGTTATGTTGATCATTGCCACGTAAGCAATACATTATGACGTGGATTATGTGTGATGTTGTACAATATATTTATAGAAAGTCGTTTATATTAACAGAAACATCCCAAAAATCAAATTCAGAATGCATATATTTTTAAAATCTATTGATAGAAACGAATCTTCTAGTGACTCATCCATCAATCTTTTTATCTAACCATTTTTTCCACTCTTCAAGATCCCAACCAGAACTAATGCTATTTTCAATAATTCCATCCCATAGGCACGTGGGAGAAACATGGATCCCTACATAAATTTAAAGGGTTACTAATGTGTGATTGGAATAAAAAACCCAGAGAAAATCACCCTCAACTTTTAGAAATTCACACACCATTTTGGCGACCTAGTTTAATGTGCCACTTAAGATCATTAGTCACTCCGTTTCCAGAGTTAGCAGCCTCACTCATATTGATAACCGAATTAACATGGAGCAAATTAAGAAATTGATCGCCTGGAATCCCAACAGATTCTGCATGTTTCGCCAACGATTGATATATTTGCTTACGGCTAAGGTCATGAACCGATTCATCGAAGTATCTTTTCAATGCAGTCACGTAATTAATTACATTAAAAAAATGCACTGTACTCAATATTAATAAACAAATAACTTCTTACTGTTTCTGTGATCCAAAAAGTACTGCCGAAAAGTCTAAGAAATTTTCTTGTTTGATTCTTTCGACGGCCAAAGAAGCCTTTGTTAATTTTTACAAAAAAGGGAAATTTATCAATCTTCCGTGATTCTTAATGTAAACATATAAAAATTTTAAAAATGTCAACCTCGTGAACAATGGTTGAAGATGGATGCCAAGGTTGAACTTGATGGCGGAATAAGAATTGAATCTTATCTGGATATCTTTGTTCAATATACGGTAGCACATCCTAAGATATCGAATTAACGAAAATCCAAAGTTGAGAGATTTGAAAAATATTGGTAAAAAAAAAATAGATATTTTGCTTTTTCTTTTGCTCTTTTTTTTCTTTTTTTCTTTTTTTTTTCTATTTAAATATCAATTGCGCACGTACATTTCGAAGTCTTGTAAAAATTCTGGCCGAGAAAGGACACTAAAACCGTTTAGAAGAATTAATTGAACTTATCTTTAAAAAATGACAATTTATCTTTACATACCACGTAATCCAAGTAGATTTCCAAAACATGAGCAGCAGTGCATGGACCCCAGCGATGACCTATAATTATGAAAATTATGAAATCGCGAAATGTATAAAAAACATTATTCGAAGGAATTATTACCCTCAATATACCTTTGAATTGAGGAGCGAGAGCCATCGTGAGAAATGTTGATTGAAAATCGTCTGAACCCGAATTATATAAATACGGAAAGGATTTGCGCATGATTAAAAATTTCGCGCCAACTTTACTTGTAAATTATTTCACATGTTTAAATCACATGATATACAAACAACCTTGCCGATTTTTTGTTTAACCTCACTTATTTAACCCATTTAACCTTTACCATGTCCGACGACGAAGGAGCTTCTAATAGTGAGTTCTTATTCTCCATTGATTTATATAAAATTTGGTTGGTGTGGAATTTTTTGGACATCGTGAATTTCAAAAAAAACTTTAGACGTCTTTTCCGTCACAAGCTTAAAATAATCCATACATTGATTCCATTTTTATTTGCAGACGAACTTCTTTTAGTCGCCGCCAAACAAGACTCAGAAGACATTCTTGAGGATATATTTAATCAGCCCGGCACTTTTGATATAAATTACACGGATAGTATAGGAAATACTGCCCTTCATTACGCGTACGCATTCCATTTTCTTTTCTTTTTCTGATATGGGCAAAAATCAAGTCAACTTCTCTTAATTTATCTTATGTATGTTTGATGCATGCGGTTAGAGCTCAATATGGTTCTCTTACGGCTGTTGAATTGCTCTTAGGTCAGTCTGGAATTAACGTCGATGCACAGAACCGATTAGAGCGTGACACTCCGCTGCATAAGGCAGTCCAATACAAAGACGATCCAGCAGTCGCTTACGAAATTGGTATTTATATCAAAGGAATTTTTACAGTTATGGATTTAGATTGTCATTGAAACTTCGGTTTTCTATTTTTATATCTCAGTAAAGCTATTGATTGATGAGGGTTCGGATCCAAGGTAGGTCGAGAGCTATAAAGGAAACATAATGTGTTTGTGAACATGATGATTTATTTTGTCAATTATTTATTATTACGTATTCGCAAAGAATACAAAATAAAAACAGACAAAGGCCAGTTCAATTGGTTGATTCGGGTAATCAGGAATTGAAAGATTTGCTTCAAAAAGCAACATTGGCATTACAAGTGGTATTTATTTATTTCACTGGATACATTCCTATTGTATCACTCTTTTTTCAAGATTTACAAGATTTATTCCTTTTTACATAGGATGCTAGTGATATTGCACAAGACGATGATGATGATGATGACGATGATGAACCCCCAAGTGACCTTAGTGAAGAAGATTGAGTTTGTGAATAGGAATTGATTAGTTCAAATATTTGCTTTATCATAATCTTATCGGTATAAACTTGTTAAAAGCGGTTGCGGTAAATTATTTATTTAATACAACACTACCAGAAAATTAAACATTAACCTATTTTGGGTATTTCATTTCGCACTTGTTCAATTGTTATTTTAACGAAAATTGCAAAATGGGCATAAATACAAGAAATAATATATATTATATATGGAATTTTTTATATAAACAGTTTTATTTTTGCAATATAAAATAAAATACTGTTATAGCAATTATTATATTACTAAATAAAAATTATCAATATATAGTAATATTATGTCAAATTATTTTTAATTCTTAATACAAGAATAAATTATGAAATTATAATTATTATATTTTTTAAAAATTAATTAAATGTACAATATAACATTTGAAATTTTTTTGAAATTTTGTTATTAAAATACTTTCAAACATATATAAATAAAATGGTTGTTCTTTTTTAATTTTAATTTATTTTTTTTTTAAAGAAAATAAGACAATTATTATATCTTTTGCTTATTATAATTTTATATTTGATTAAAGTAAGATTACAATTATAAGGCGGACATATATTTCTTTTTGTTAAAAAGAGTTTAATGCAAGATACAAAAAATTAATTCATTTATTTATACTTTTAATTATTATCCAAGAATATAATAAAAAAATATCCAGATCTATATTAAATCTTAAATCCTATTTAGTTTAAATATTCAGAAATAGAATTTTAAACCAATATTGAAATAGTATCCAAATAATATCCACTTATAATAAATTTAATACCAACTTAATATCAAAATAATATTATTAGAAATCTTATCCAAATAGAATTTTGAAAGTATTAAATTAATATTAAAGTAATGTTAAAATAGTATCAATTTACAGTGTGTTGTAAAACTTTTTGGAATTTTTTATTTATTTGTTATTTAAAAACTATTGTATAAAAAATTAATAAATAATATATCAAAATAAAGCTTAAAATCTAGAGATTATAATAAATATAAAAATGTTTTTTAAAAATTTTTAAAATTAATTTTTGAAATTAAATTTTTTGAGTATTAAAAATTAATTACAAATAAAAATTTGATTTTTTTTAAAGATTTTATTTGATAAAAAGAGGTTTATATTGTAATTAATTATAATAAATAAAAAATTAATAATAATAAATAAGTTAAAAAATTTTAATATAAAATATTGTAATTTTTAAAAAAGATCAATTAAAATTAAATCCTTAATAAATAAATAATATTTATAATTTTGATATATCAAATAATTCTTGATTTCAAAATAAAAAAATTTAAATAAACAAAGATTATTAAAAAAATAGAATAAAATATTATTATTGTTTATAATTTTTTAAATATAATAAAAAATTTCAAAATATACTAAAAATATATTACAAGTAATTTTAATAATACAGTGAACCCATTCTAAATGCACACCCTTCGGAACCATAAGAAAATTTTTGAAAAATGTGCATTTATAGAGGATGTGCAAGCTTAACCATGCATTTAGAGAGAAAAAATAGTAAGTGCATTTATAGAGGATGCATTTAGGGAGGTCTCTCTGTATAATATATTTAATACTGAAATTCTTATATATAACATTTGCTTTAAGAATATCGTATGAAAGACAGACATGAAAATTTTCACATGATCTTGTCGATCACAGTTTAATAATAAACACAATTAAATAAACTTTTATGATATAGATAGAAACATAATTTCACTTTCAGGATTCCGAAGTTCCGAGAAGTTCTTTGTTGTAAGCGTACAATTCAAGATTATCAATCGTATGAGTTATGGATAATCGAGCGCGTACTTATAGAGAAAATTATCGTTTTCCTCAATCTATTTTTTACACAAAGATTTCGCGGCTGAAATGAAAAACCATATGATTTTGATTGCATGATTTAATTGTAACGATATAGAAGAAAGAAATATTGAATTACGACTTTTAAACAAAGCTTACACCTGTAGGCGTACAATTCTAGAATTTCTAATAACATGATGTTTGGTCTAACTTTATGAAACGACATGATGTCGTATGACATCTTTCCTATAAATCGTACGGGTTGATCAAAAATTTAGTAATATAAAAGCGATCGTAAAAGACATCCAAGTTTATAAATCATAAAAATGGCCGAGACCACCCTTCCTCCCCGAAAACTAAGTCGCAGGAATAGTACAGTACCATTATCTCAAGCCGTATATCTTGGCTTAGAAATCGACTATAACGAAGAAACCAGTAAAATTGATTACGCCATATGCGCGCATGACGGTTCTTATACAATTGACTACAATTTTTCATCGATCGACGTAAATATTGAGGCCATTAATGATGAAAACAGGGAAGAAAAGGTGAACGAGTTACAGAAGGCTATACTCGATCGTATCGTTGCTTACTCTAAAAGTCGGGAATACAAAATTCTCGCGGTTGGAATTGGGGCGCATATTGCAAGAGTTGGTGGAAAAGAACGGGAAAATGTAAAGAATCTATTATTTAGATCTCCGAGTCTAGCCTCGAAAATTTGGTTCGAGTTGGATGCCATACCTTTTATTATTGGCACCAAAGGGGATTCTGTGGATGAACGAGCTAGTTCAGCTGTGAGAAAGACTGTAGTATGGTAAACGAATTATTGTACTCTTTATTAATTAATTACATTTTTTAATATTTCATAAATATATAACAATTACATTAATATAGGATGTCTCCACAGACTCCTGGTTCGATTCCCAGGGTTTCCGTTGGCTTCAGACACGAAGTCGAAGTAGATTTAAAAGGGATGGCCAAATTAGTAGATTTAACACATTACGAAAATACCGTCTGTCCGGAAACTTGGAAAGTACTGAATTGCATCGCCGATGAGTTGAGAACTAGGAAGGTCAAAGTTTCATACTTTAACGCGACGCCCCAGGGTGGCGGAGGTGATTATAAGTTTTTATTGAGTAAATTTTAGGGGTTTGAATTTTTTTAACCGAATGAAAATTATCAGTTGCATTGATGCGCCACGCATTAATAAGACTGTGCAGGTTGATGGATTTAGATGTTCACTGGTTCGTAACAAAACCGAAACCAGAAATTTTTGAAATCACCAAAAGGAAGTTCCATAACGTATTACAGGTAGCTAAAAACCTAATTAGATTTTGATGATTCATTCTTTTTTCTTATTGCGGTTTCTCCTTATTAAAGGGTGTAGCACCACCTGATGTGAGACTTACTCAATCCGAAAAAGAAGAATTTACTGCATGGTCGGATAATAATGCCACAGTATTTTGGGCCGGTGATGAAGGTCCAATAAAGACTAGTAATGTCATTATAATCGATGATCCTCAAGGTTAGTAACTTATACATTGAATTGATGAATTTACATATACCGCGAATAAAAATTTATTGCGATTCTTTTGCAATTTTAGTATGCGGTATTATTCCACACATCAAGAGAATGAATCCAAGTTGCAAGATCATTTATCGTAGTCATATAGAAAGTATGTAATAATGTTTGCAATAAGAAATTGTGATCCCAAAAGAATTTAACTGATATTTCACATAATAGTTTGTGCGGATTTAATTCGTCAAGATCCAAATGGACCTCAGGCGGAAACTTGGGGTTTCTTATGGGATTTCATTTCTCAAGCTGATCTATTTGTGTCACACCCAATAGAAAATTTTGTTCCTGACGAAGTGCCCAGGAAGAAGGTCGTTACTCCAAAATTAAATATTAAACCATTATTTCGACTGTCTATATTGAAATTCCGATTAAATATTATCACGTTTATTTGTTCAACGACTAATAGGTGGTTCTTCTCCCAGCGTGCACGGATCCATTGGATGGATTGAACAAGATACTGAACCATTATGATATGCATTTCTACAAAACGAAATTCAATCAGTTGTCATTTGAACAATGTGGTATCGAAATAAATTTCGCAAAACCATATATTATTCAAATCGCGAGATTTGATCCTAGCAAGGGTAACTATAAATTCAAATTTATCTTTATTAATTGATCATTACAATTAACAATTGAATTTATTTTCTAGGAATTCCTCTGTTGGTCGATTCATTTAGAATTTTCCGTGAAAGATTAGAAAAAGAGGGCTGGTCTCAGAGTCAAATGCCTTCGTTGATAATTTGTGGAGTCGGAAGTATCGATGATCCGGATGGTACGCCGATCTATAAACAAACGAACGATTTGTTGAAAACACCTGAATACGCTGGTATCGCGGATGATGTTTCGGTAGTACGTTTACCTCCTTGTGATCAAATACTTAACGCGTTGCTACGATGTGCTCATGTAGCGTTACAACTAAGCACTAGGGAGGGCTTTGAGATCAAGGTGTCGGAGGCTCTTGCTAAAGGTAAATCGATAAAAATTCATAATAAATTCATAATAAATTCAAATAATAATAATTATAATTTTTTTTCACAAAATATCAGGTATTCCAGTGATCGCTTTCAGAGCAGGTAATGGATATATATATATATATACTTTTAAACTAATATTCACTCTTTTTTCATTAACACGTTCTTTCACATCCAATATGTATAGGAGGAATTCCGTTACAGATAAGACACGGTGAAACGGGTTTCTTGGCCGATATTGGGAATACCTCTCAAGTAGCAGATTACTTGTTTGACTTATTCACTGACCATCAGCTTTACGAAAAAATGTCACACGCTGCTCGGTCCACAGTGAATGAGCAATACTTCACAGTATTTCAAACACTAAATTGGTTGTATTTGGTAAATAAATTTACTCGTCAAGCTCCAGAAAATGAGGTTATCGGAAATGGAAGATGGGTGAAAGAACTTTGGGCTGAAGAATATGGGTTTGAAGAAAAGGATAGGGTATGTTGTATACTTTTAATTAATTTATTTATTTATTATACTTGATGTTAACGCTTTTGTTTGATAATTATAGTTTTTCGATGAAACTCTTAGTCATCCAATACATGAATCTTAAATGGTCATCATAGGTTCATCCATGTAGTTTTATTTATTTATCTGTTTATTTATGGTCATTTCATTTCATTTAATAATTAGATTGTATAACAGTTACATTTTTATCAACAAATTTTACAATAGTTTACAAGCTTAGTTTAAAATTTTGATAGATTTTAAAATTCAATCAACAACAATTCTCATTGATCCGAAGCAATCCTTTTTTAAAATTATGTAAAGCATTTCTTAAACAAGTGAAATAAAACAATAAGAGTGATTTTAATTATTTACTTTTTCTTTGCATCATTTTCGTTAAATTATTATTATTGATGAAATCTTTTATTAAAATAAGTGATCAATCCGAACCTAGCATTCAATTTATCACTTTAATATGGCTTAATTAAAAATTTTTTAAAAATCGATTGTACTGTACATCAGTAAAATTTTAAAATACATTAATGTAATCTTAAATTTAAATAAAAAAAAATCAGTTTAAAACATTAAATAATATAATGGTCAAATATAAATTATAGATATATACAAAAAAAATAATTGGTAATATATAATAAAATTAAATTAAATCAAACCTAATTTATATGATATATAAAATATTGAAATGAATAATCCTTTGATCACTATTATGAATGACACAACAGTTGCTTTCTTGATATAGTTTATATATATTTTTTAAAACATTTGTTTTTTTTTTTAAGTAGATAAACATTATCACTTTATTAATTATATAATTGTTTAAAATTTATATATGGAGAAAGTGACAACATCTCTTATATAACTTGTTAAGCTAATAATTCTAATGCTAGCTTGCCTATGTAAACTATTTAAGTAGTAAGAAAAATAAATATTAAAACATTACACATCTAAGATAGTACTAAGCAGCTATAAATACCTACTTAGATTTATATATATAAAAATTATAAGAAATAAAAAAGTAAACAAAAAAAGAAAATACTAAACAAAAAGATATATATAAAAAAACTAATTGTAAAGTTATAATGCTTTAGATAAAATCATTAGACATGCTATACTGATAGTTCCATTTAACTGAAATATAATGGTTGCACTTCCAGAAATAACCAAACTATTATTCCAAAGTATAAAATAGTGCTGATAATATATTTTTTTGATAGATAATTAATTGTAATAGTAGTATTGTTGTTATTTTAATATGATTAATAATCAGTTTGTTTGTTAATATAGTGATTTTGTTTTGATTATTGTTATTAAAATAGGTTTTGTTTATATTAATCAATATGAAATGTTTTGATTGTATAAATTTGTTTGGAAAATTGGTAATATTTGATTAGTTAAATTCAGAATGTTAATTAATTAACAGAAGTAAACTAATTATAGTTTTTGATAAGAAATTTTTTGTATGAAAATTTTTGAGTTTTTGTAATATAATATTATATATCAAATAATATTGAAAAATAAGTATTGGATATATTATTAGTGTCTCAAGCCAATAATATAAACAATATTAATATAAAGTTGGATTTTTAAAATAAAAAAACAGCTTATCAAAAAGAAATTTTGTTTATTTAATAAAAAATGTGTATTGATAAGAAGTAAAAATAAAAATTTTTCAAGAAAAATTTATAAAGAAGCAATTATTACAAGTTTTTTCTCATGCAATTCAAGAAGAGAACAAGAATCTCAAATTTGCTTCCTCTTGACTAAAGGTTCTATTCTGATATATTATTATATTTTTTTAATTTTTTTAAGGTTTTTGTAATAAAGATAAAAAAGATATATAAAACTTTTAGATATTGAAAGATGAAAAAAATATTTGTTTCTTTAATTTTGAAAAAAAATTATTATAAAAGAAAATTTTTAAAAAAAAAGTTATTTATAGAAAAGAGTTTTTTTTTTTTAACATTTGTATTATAAAAAAAAATTATTATTTATAACAAAAAAAAAACAAAAAACAAAAATATAATTTAAATTTTTTAATAATTTAATAATTAAAAAATTAAAAAAAATAATAATAAATAAATAAATAAATATATTATATTATAATTAATTTATTACTTTGTAAAAATTTTTAATATAATAATTATAAATCAATATTTTAAATAAAGTTTTGTATTTAATATCTATATACTGTATATATATATATATAAAATCAATAATTAACTTTTATTGAAAATATTATTTTAATATTTTATAATATAAATTAAAACATATTATAATTTAATTATTAGTTAAATTATTTTTTTATTGATTTTATTAAATTAAAACTAATTTAATTTTAATTTAGTTTTTTTTATAATTGAATATACACATATAATATATTGTTTATTATATTATTAATCATTTTATTTATTATTAATTTTTTATTAAATATATAATAAGTTTAATTTAAATCAAAAATTTATTATTAAAAATGTTTTAAAATTATTTAAAAATATTTTGATTTTTTAAAAAAGAATAATTATTTTACAATACAATATATTATATATATATTAATTCAAAAAACAATAATTTATTAAGTATTATATATTATATAATTTTTTAAAAATTATATTTATTAATAAAGTATATATATATTTGAAATGAAATTTTTTATAATTTTACAAAAAAAGAATAAATAGTTTATTGTCTTTAAAAGATTAATATAATTATTATTATTGAATTCAATATTATTTATTTATTAATAACTAGATTAAATATATTCAAAAAACTATTATATAATTATTATTATTTGAACTTTTAAAAAATTACATTTATTTTATCTAAAAAAATATAATAACTAATATTAATATAAATTTTTTACAAATATTATACTAATATTGAAATATTTAATAGGATAATATGTGATAATTAGAAATTTTAGTTATTTTTACAAATAGAATTGATAACAATAATAAAAATTCTTTATTTATTTCTCAATAATATAAATTTATATACAAAGTTAAATACTAATATCTATAAAAAAATATAATATATAAAAAAACTCTTTCCCATACACAACATTTTTCTTAAAAATTTCCTTTTATAGTAATTTTTTCAAAATTAAAGAAATA